TTTTCTCAGATTTTCACGGATATTTTTTTTCCGTTGATCTTTTCCTCTCTGAGTTCGGTTTTTCGTCACTTAGTGTCATCTTGAGTACTCGGGAATGGTTTTTGAGACTCTTTTACTTGGATTGATGACTTCCTTTGAGGACCGAGTCATTTTCACATTTTCACTTTTGTGACACTATTCACTTTTCGTCTTTTTCTCGGTTGTTACTTTGTTAGCATAACCCCACTTTTCGTGTTCGGATTTGATTCCGGTTTTTACATGCATCCATGATATTTAAATTCCATGCTATGTGTATTTTCACTTTTGTAGAAAAGCATGCTAAGTGTTTACTGTTCTTGTAAAGAGTATAGATGCATAACCTTTTTGTAATATTCTAAACTTTTGGGGTTTTTATGTAATTACTGTAAAGTAATTATTTTTCGTCTTAGGGACCATTTTGCAATTTAATTTGGAAGATATTTTCAAAAATGACCTTTTTTGCAATTTTCGGAAAGTGTGACAAGTGTCACACTCTCATTGGTCCACTTGTTGACATTTGTGTGGGGATACTTTGATGCCTTCGATGATGACATGTGGAGGGTGGAGATTCACCCACTTGTTGGCCTAGGATTGGTGCACTTGTTGGCTTGGATGATTGACAAGTGTAGGTTTGAGATTAAGCCTAGGATGGAGCCTTGGATTTGTGACAAGTGTAGGCACCAAATTTTGTCTTGAAATTAATTTTTGAGCCACTTTGGAATTATGTTGTTAAGGAGGGTTTTTGTGCAATTGACCAAGACTTGTGTGTGTTGACCTTGGTGTAAGACCACATAGTGAGTGGAGGATTTCTATTTCCTCCACTCACATTCTTTTACACTTAATTTCTATCTCTTCCCTCTCTTGTAAAGAAAACCCTAGCCTCCATAGATGGAGCTTGAAAACTTTGGCCTTGACCTTGATTTTTGATGGCCTTCCACTCACCTTAGACCATGAAGATTGGAACACTTTTTGTTCCCCTCATTCTCCTCTACATAACCCTTGAAGGGTTTGCCATTTTGTGTTGATTTGCCTTGGATTCTAGAGAGACTCTTCTCTAGTGAAGCAGGGGGTGTTATAATTTATTTTTCCAAGTTGTTTTACTTACTCTTATATGAAATATAAGTTGTATGCATGACTTTTGTTAAATTGAGAAATTAGAGATTTATCATAGCTTGTATATAACTCATTTTAGACTTGGTAAATGGCATGGCCATGAGTTAATCTTTGATATATATTAATTTGGGATGATTTATATGAGTTTTCAAATCTAGAGATTAAATTGATTTAATTTGATTTAAATTCTAGTAAATTATGTTTTGCTTGTATTCTATTTTATACTTGATATATGGTATGATCATGACTTAGTGCTTGATGTATATTAATTTGAGATCATTTGAACAACTTTTGAAATCTAGAGATTTAATTGATTTAAATTAATTAAATTCTATTTGATGATATCTTGCTCATTTTGCACTTTTGATTTAATGTATGTAATAAGCATGTTATGTTGTTTAACATATATTAATTTGAGGTTATTTGAATTTGATTTGAAATTTAGAGAATTTAATTTTTTGTTTAATTAAATTTTATCTAGTGACTCCATGGATCTATTTGTGTTTTAGAAGTTATTTATATATTCAAATCATGGACTTGGACTGGTTGTGTATTCACTTGGTTTTGTGTTGAGCATTTGATAACATTGTTGTTATATTTATATTCATGAGAACATGTTTTCTTTATGGAATATATTGTTGCCTTATGTAATGAATTGTACACTTTGTAATTGACATTATATATGCCATTTTAGAATTGAAACTCGAAGGCATGGATTGTATGGTTTCAACCTACTTGTGCATGGAAGGTGTTTTTATGCATTATATAAATTATGTATAAGTTGTGAACTTATTTAGTTTATTTTGGAGTCTTGGGACATTGGTGTTACAAATGACATGGCTAGAGTTTGGCTCTAGTGCGGGAGGTATGAGTTCTTCCCAATTGAGATAGTGTGCACTTAAGGTGGTCTTCCTTGCGGGTTAGTGCTCGGAATAACCATTGAGGTCAGAATTCCGAGCTTAGATGTCCAAGTCTTCCACTATTTGGTTTCGCATTTAATTCCAAGTTGACAATTATGTTTAATTGTGATTTGTGGTTTTGGTTATTGGCGATTTTGATGTTGTTAAATACATCCGAGCTTTATAATTTTAATGAATCATTTCAGATTTTGATGTTGTGAAGTACATCCGAGCTTTATGATTTTAATGAATCATTTCAAATTTTGATGTTGTTAAGTATATCTATGCTATATTGTTCAAATGCAACTTAGGAATGATCCTATAGATTCATTTGGAACATAGATGTTAAGTGGCATGACCCATTTTTGTCGTTTTCGTATTTCAGATTTCAAGTTGATAACCTTGAGAATCTATATCTTGTTGCTTTGTATTGCATGTCCTTATGTTGTTTGGAATTACATGAAGAGTGTGAATTATGCTAGAAACGAGCTAAAGTAGCTTAGGATGCTTTCTGAGTCTAACCTTGATATAGACGTTAGGTACCATGATCCTTTTGAATTGTTTCATGATAGTCTAAAAATCTTTAAGAAATCGAGTCAATGCATGCTCATTCTCTACGAGGAAACTTGTTTACTCACCCCGAAGTTACTGGGGGGCAGTTTCAGGTACAAAGACTTGGTTCGTGATGCTCATCATTCCTTGGATGGCTTGTAGTTCTTAAGTTTCCATTTCATGCAAATGTTAGCATGAGATACCTTTTGTAGCTTTATTTGACAAAATGTGTATATTTGATTCTATATATGTAATGTGTACATGAGTGCACTCCTTACAATGTATTCAACATGTATATGATAAGGCTAGAGGCCAATGTCATGTATTTTGTATCCTATGTGACTTATGATTTTATGAAATATTATGAAAATATTAAAAAATGCCGAGTAATCGTTTCACCATATTTGCATCGGGTGTGGGAATTCCATTTTTATTCTTTCATATGGTCTCATTAATCATGTATGAAGTGTGCCAAGGGTCAAACGGTAATTTCTAATCATTTGTTAATTTTAGTTTTCAAAATTTCCATTTCAAATTCATTTTCGCCTTTTTTGGCTGTTGGGGGGGGTCGGATTTTGACTCGACCATTTTCGGGAGCCGTGGACCATTCCTGTGCGCTCAAAATCACTTATTACGTTTGCGTGCATATTCGTTTCAGCCTAGAAGTGCATTTGGGGTCAAATGTATGTTTGGTGCAAATTCACATTTTTGCCGTTTTGAGCCTAAACTGAGCATAAGGTCATTTTGGGGTTTTCACTTAAAAAATAAAATTTCTTTTGGCATGGTTGGCTAGAAAACATGATTTTGAGGGGGGTTTCTTCTTTGTGTTTTTTTCAAAAAGGCCCAAAAAGTCCTCAAAATTGCATTTCAAGGTTGCATTTCAAGTGCAGCCTACAGCAGAACGAGCGCTCCAAGGGGGCTACGAGCGGTCGAAGTTAGGGCAGAAAGTTTTGGCCCTTGGGCATGTGCTATACGAGCGCTCAAAGCTCTTGCACGAGTGTTCGTGGTACTGTTCATGTGTGTGTGTGTTTGTGTCTTGGTTCAGCACAGCACCTCCGACTTTAAACTATCATATCTTCTTCGTTTTAACTCCGAATTGGTCTGTTCTTGAGTCTAAATTGACCAAGTCGAAATAAGATTTCCAATGATACCAATTAGAGCTTCAGATTCTTCTTGTAACTTTAGATATTCAAGTTTTAGTCAGGTAGTGTCTGTTTTTAGTTCGAACCGGGATAGAGTTTCCCTTCCTTCGACTTCAGAACTTGATATCTTTGTCGTCCGGACTCCAAATCAAGTGATTCTTGAGTCTATCTTTATTAAATTTTCATTTTCCTTCCAATAGTATGCATGGTGGCACCCATTTTAGTGTGGAATGACTATTTTGTCCCTAGGTTCATTCTTATCCATTTTTGAAATATCGCTTCCGCATTTACTTCCTTTAGGTTTCGTGACCTCATTGAGGGTCACATTGGTGTCCTAGAGATGTGTTGTATCTCTAGAGACCGTTATTCTATCATTTGCTTCCGCATTTTAGATCCGTTTTGGGTCATTACATGACACATTGGGTTGAAAAATTTAGGGTCGTCACATTTGATTTTCATGAAATACGTATTTTTACTTTTGTAGAAAAGCATGTTAAGTATTTACTTTTCTCGTAAAGAGTATGATGAATAGTTTCTTTGGAAACATTCTTGACTTTTGGGTTTTAGTATAATTAGATAAAGTAATTATTTTTCGTTTTATGGACCATTTTATAATTTAATTTGAAAAATATTTTGAAAAAAGACCATTTTGTAATTTTAAAAAAGTTTGACTCCCATGGAGCCACTCACTACAACATATTAGACTTTTACCAGCACTTTGTAAAAAAATGTTGGTATAGATATTACAGTACCAGCGCTTAAAAAAAAACGTTGGTATAAGTATAATTGTACCAGCGCTTTAAATAAAAGCGTTGGTAAAGGGCTCTTCCATTCCCTCCGGTTTTTTCCCTTCCCTTCACTTTTTTCCCACCGCTTATTTATATATATAGAATATTTAGTGCCTAAACTGCGTCAAATTTTTTTTCTATTTATCCAAAAGCTCGAACTGTTAGGTAAGGCTGCATACCCACCCATTTATACCCAATCTCTTTCCCATCCGATTCTGATTTGGGACAAAATGACCCTTGTTACATTCTCCCCTACCCAAACTCCCAACGCCCTCGTTGCGGTTGGGCCGCCCTGCCTACCCGGGTGGACTCACCCGGACGCCTTTCGGGCCGGGCGCTTGGCGTGACACCAGATCAAGGACTGAGTTTGGCTCTGATACCAACTGTAACGGGTGGACGCTTGCTCATTTATCCAAAAGCTCGAACTGTTACCTAAAATTACATACCCACTCATTTATACCCAATCTCTTTCCAATCCCAATGACCCTTGTTGCACCTAGCTACTTCATCCGTCTCTCCTCTCTGCTCTACCTTATCGCTCTGCTCCATCTCGATCGCCCACCTGCAAGACTCCCCTCTGAAAAATATTTGGCCTTTTGATTTCATAACCATCTCTCTCTGGAGTTCCAACCCTTATTACGTTTCTTTGCCGCCACTGCGCTTATATGTGAGTTAAGGTAACCCTGTGACTCTGTCTTCTATTGTCTGTGATTTCATTTTCTTGATTTTCGTTTTCTGGGTTAAGAGATTTCTGTCTGTACTTGGATTCAGATTACTTTATTGATTTATTTATTTTCAATTAATTTTTCTGATTTTAGTTTACAAATGGGTCTAAACTTCACCTAAAAATCAATTGGTTAGGTTTTCCCCTTTCTGTTTGGTCTATCTTCTATCTTATGTGTACCATTTTTTTTTTGGTAAATGAAAGCAAAAGGATCTTCTCTCGCTGAATTTGAAAGAAAAAAAAGTTCATGTCATATACGTGATTAATTGCATTTGCATTTTTAGCACTAAGGTTTTAGTGTGTGTAAAATATGAATGAAGCATCAATATTCTCTATTTCTTTTTCTTGATTTAAAGCAACTTTGTGGAAGGTTTAAGGTTTTGGCCCAACCTTCCAGTGGGTACTTCAATAGTTTTACTGTTCTTGTCATAACTCTGTCTCAATCTCTACTGCTCGATCTCCATTTCTCAGCTGAAGCCCTTAATTGATGTTTGCTAACCCGCTCTTTGTCGATCTCTCACTACTCTATCTCGATCTCTCACAGCTTGATCTCCATCTCAGCTGCAAGACTCCTCTACCCTGTCTCGATTTCTCACTGTTCGATCTCCATTTCTCAGCTGAAGCCCTTGATTGACGTTTTAATTTTGGGCCTTCAAAAATGGGCCGTGACTTTGCGTGTGTTTGTGTTTTTGGAGCTAAAATATCAAAGTAAAAACGTGAATAACCCTGTTTTATATAGTTCATATTGATGTCTTTTATCTTATCGCCCATGTAAGGATGGCTGAGTGAAAATTGTAGTTCTCTCATGGGCAGTTGTTTTTCGCATGAGCTATCGCTACTCCAAACTCCAGGCTTCTCAGACTAACAATTACAATTATCATGCTCTGTTTATTGTTCCTTTAATAAAAAGTATGAATTATAGTTTTGATTGCATAGTGATGTATTATGTCTGAAAACTTAATAAAAAAATGCACATTGTAAGAGAATAATCTTTTGCAGTATTTTGAAACTGTTTTATGTTTTAAGAGTTCCTGGAAATTTCTAGGTTTTAAGAGAATTTTACCAATAAGCTCTATGCTACTTTGAAATTCTGTAATACAATGTCTCCATGTCTAAGTAAATTATGTGTCCAAGAATCAATTAGTAAAGTGAGTTATTTAACTTTAATCTACTTCATTGATGTTTTTGTTTTACTGGTAGTTTAGGCTGAAGACGATTATTTTAGGTTTTTGGCATATTATTATTATTATTTTTTAATTTTAGCAAAATAATTACTTATAAAAAATAGCAAAAATTTTAAATTTAATTATATTTTTTTAAATGCAGAAACTGTACTTAAGAACCAAAACAAGATGTGAATGTTGGATAAACAAGTGTTTTGGTTTCCATTAAGAATAAGAAGTGCAAATACCATGCCTGAAGTAACATGTTTTGACACGCTTGTGACATGCAATTTTTTGGAAGAGGGAAATTTTAAAATATACTTCAAACTTTTCGGAGTACTTTACTCCAAGAGTCAATTGAGATATGATTCTCCATAGCATGTGTTTTCCATGCCACTTTCACTTAAAAATTCTGCTGGCTTTCTTCTTCTTTGTTCCTCTTTTGCAATGATGTTAGACCATGATAAAATGGTAGGATGATTGGCTGATGCTAGATTATTTGATTGGTTATGATAAATTTTCAAGTTCCTAAGCAAAAAAGAGGGAGTTTTTAAAAATAGTTGCTGGCAAGTTCTGATGACCTAATGTTTTAGAGTCATCTTATTACATTGATTTTCAACCCAGACAATATCCATTTAAAGGACCATCTAGTTGTGGGTCTGCAACACTTCTATTGTATTACATAACAGTTTCAAGTGTTCAAGAACATGCATATATTTGGGTGTCAGTGACAATGTTTTGTTCCCTAAGTTTTTTTTGTATGGTATTTCCTGGAGAGAGTGCTGCTTATGCCACTTGATTGTATTCTGTGATGGTTACGATTTTGGCATGTACATTCTTTATTTTTGTATGTGGATTTAATAATGATCTTGAATTCTAGTTTTGAGGTGTTTAAACAATCTTGTAATTCAAGAAGTGGAGTGGAAAGCTTCATCTTTTTTAATGCGATCAAGATGCCTGATTTATCCTATTAAAATTACCACAATTTTTTATTTCGGAAATAATAAATTAATTGAGTGCTAAGTGGTAAAGTTGATACTCTATACTTGGATTTATGCTGTGCAGACTGTGCTGTTGATATTGAATTTAAGCCGAGACATTTTGTGAGGCTGAGGGTCCTAGTTAGTCCTTGTTGCTTTTGTGGGAATACAATGGTACTTATAAAAAGAAGGATATTTAATTTAAGTTGATGAGGTCTTCATTCGTTGCTGATGTTGAGTCCTTATAATTTAAAGCTATGAAACCCAGGTTCATTATGTAGTGTTGTGTGCCTAATCTTTCAAACGTCCAGGCTTTAATGATTTTTTATTTTAAATTTTTTTCTGCGATCTTAGGAAAAAAAGGTTTAGTCTCGATCTCTGTTTAGTGTTATGTTTGCTATTAGATATTGCTTGTGGCCTGTGAGTTGTACTTTATTTGTTTTCATACACACTCATGCACCACCCATTTAAAAGTTGAAAGTATAATAACATTAAAAGAAGAAAAGTTTTTGGATGCTATATTAAGACGACTATGCTATTATTATTAGTTTTCTCTGCATCTTTCAGCGATCCTACCCATGGTACTTTTGTTACTGAATTTTTTTTTTGTTCATATATTGTCTCAGCTTTTGACACCAAAAGCAAGGCCAGGCTGGGTGTTGTCTTGATCAAAATTATTCTGCTCAGCATTTGGTTGAGGGCCTTTATAGATCAGGTGATGAATAATGATGCTACTTTAAAAAGCTGTGATAAATAGATTTTTGTTGCTTATCATATTTTCTATACAAGTGCTCAACAGCCTCAAACCATCCTATATATTGACGAAATCCATAAAGGTACCGTACTTCATATTACACATGTCATCCAAATTGACATAAATGGTGTCATTCCTGAAATGCCTGTTGGTTGTGCAAGCAGAAGCATAAAATATCATAATTGTATATTACTCTTGTAGTAGATCATATGTGGTAATATAAACTGATAAAATATTTACATGAATTTGGACTGTGTTTGGATTTGTAAATTCTAGGAGTTCGTTATCGAGTAAGAGAGCCTTATAAATCCATTAAATATATCAACATGAATTGCATGAAACTAAGAACAGTATTGTCTCTATTTATTTGTTTTAATTTAATGCATCACAAGTGATGGCAAATATTACTCGGCCAAACCTTCCTTCAACAAGTCTTTGAATGAAATAGAAAAGCAACTACTTGGCTCTTGATGATGACCTGAAAAATAAGACTGATCGTATAGATTTCTTCCCTAGGCCCTGCTATTTAGATTAATTCTTTTATGTATACCATCCTCCTTTATTCCTTGCTCATGGTCTCTTGTTTTTTTCATTTTACTGTTGTAAATCTTAGTAGCTTTCAGTTCTTCTTGTAAATGTGGTCAGCACTTGCTGGATAATCATTTTTTAATATGAAAATACTTTAATTTCTTTTTATTGGTTTTTCCTGGACCGCTTTTTTTAACAATTTGATTGCATTCTCTTAACTGAATTTTAACTTTTTTTGGAGGCTTTTTCAGGAAGGATAAATAATAAGCTGACAATGAAACGAACGGTTAGTGAAGTGGAAAAAGTGAGTGAATAAAATACCGAAACTTCAACTTCAAAATCATCCCAACCACCGCCGAAGAAGAGACGGGGCCTAACACGATGCAAGAATGTCATAGACGCGACAACCTTATTACCTTTAAGGAATATATATATATAGATCATCTTATATAGTTTTCATAATTAGACTATATTCAATATGAAGGAGAAAAAAGGATTTCTATCTTTATTTTTGTACTAAACATCTACAATTGTTAATTTTTGTTTAGGGTTAATAAGTTTGGACAGCCGATCGGTCCTGGAAGTGGTACATATACTAATTATTTGGGAACACTTGCCCGGAAGGGTAAATTAGTTCTTTGTACTACAAAACTTGGTGGGAGATGCCTAAATGGCTGAAGGAGGATATGTGGAATATTGTAAAGGTAAAACCCTTCAATAACATTAAAATAATTTTTATGGAAAAAGTGGACTAACATGCAGCAATTATCACATTTTCAGGGAAAATATGATGTGGGAATCATGTCAAAACAATGGACATTATCCTCTATCGGAAAAAAATGGAGGGGGTACAAGTGTGAATTAAAAAATGAATACTACTTGGTTAGGGATACAGAAGAAGAAAGATTGGTAAACCTACCACCTGATGTTTGAAAAGGAGCATTGGGAATTTTTGGTTACGCATTGGGGTACGCCTATGACGAAGGTAATCCTCCATCTATCATAATGTTTTTTGAAGTCAATGAGTTGAATTTATAGTTTACCTGCTTTCAGTCATTATTTTAGGTGGAATGTTTTTTATTCAAAGAACGTTTACTTTTTCTCACTTTTGTAGGTGGTCAGCAAAAAAAATAAAGAACGTCGTGGGAATCAGACAATGATGCATACTACAGGGACAAAAAGCTTTGCACATGTTTCTGCCGAGGCTAGTTGAAGTTTTTATGGAAAATATAAATTATTTCAATTCTTATGGCGTTGAATGATTATAAATGTTAGTGGTAAATAATATATATCACAATGTCTATGTTTCTTTTATAGATTGAGGAAGACGAAGGTATTCAGCTTTCTCGTGCAGATTTATTCATCCCTACACATGTAAATAAGGATGGCAAAGCTACTGATGCTGCTGCTTCGGAGTTGATTGTAAGTTTTCACGCTTCTATTTTGCAAAAAGGGGGTCACGTGCCTTGAAGTGACCAATTTTTAAATCATTGGCCTGTGTGGAGTCAATTTACTTTCTTGTATTTGTTGAAAAGCATGGGAGTATGGGATCATTGTATGTGGAGGCTTCTAGTTGATTGATTTGTGTTGTGGAGGAGAAGTATTTGCTATTTGTTGTTTATGTTAATTTCTTGCTCATATATTGTAATGATCCGGATTTTCACGGATATTTTTTTTTTTTTTTTTTCTGTTGTCTTTCCTTTCTGAGTTCAGTTCCTCTTCGCTTAGTGTCGTCTCGAGTGCTCTAAAGTGATTTGCCGAGACTCTTTTATGTGGATTGACAACTTTCTTTGAGGACCGAGTCATTTCCACATTTTTCGTTTTTTCGACACTATTCACTTTTCGTTATTTTCTCTATTTCGTCCTTTTCCCTATTATGTCTTTTCCCTGTTTGACACTTTGTTGGCATAACCACACTTCCTGTGTTCGAAGTTGGTTTTTGAATTCATGTTTCTCCATCTTGAGTGGTTTCCACAAAATACATATCTTTACTTTTGCAAGAAAGTACTCTGGTTGCTCCTGGTGTCCATAGGGCATGGATGTAAAGTTCTTTGAAATTATTTTCTTTTCTTGGGGTGTTTTTTGTAAATATCTTTTCAAGATATTTTATTTCAGGGGTTTTTAAGAAAATATTTTTGGAAGATATTTTCATTCTGGGCCATTAGTGCAATTTTCACTTTTTGGAGGGGCCATTGTGCAATTAATGAAAGTTATTGCTAAATGCCTTGTTTTGAGTCTGGATCCTCATACAGGATTCATTTTCACTTTCCATCGTGTCGTGTACTCCTAGAAATTCCTTTTGGTCATTGTTTTTCAGTTTCAGGGTTTTTGGCCCCGGTTAGCGCCAAACTTGCTTGGGGCATAACTTTCTACTCGGGATTCAGTTTTTGACGCTGTTTCTTCCGTAATTCATATTTTCTCATTTTGAATCTTTTTAGTTCATAGAGTTTTGTCATTTGAGCGCGTCTGCTCACTTTTTCAGACTCGGCGGGGCCCGTTCGGGGCACTTTTTGAGATTTCTATAAAAGGGGGGTGAAATATTTTATTTTTTCATCTTCCCCACTCTCTTGCACGACCTGAAGCTTCCATGGCAGCCCAAGGGAGGCTGCCACCTTCTCTCTCCTCTTTTGAGCATCATTCTTTCGACAGAACATAGAAGGGCCTTTGCGTTTAGTGTTCGTGTTGACTACGCGCTTCTTTCACCCTTATTAGAACCCATTTCTGACCATTCTTTGAGTTTGGGTTTGAAGTCAAGTTGTGATTTTGATGGGGCTTCCTTGGGGGTTATGTGCACGGTGTAGTCCCCGACAAAACCTAGAAGTTTCGTCAGATTCGGAGCGGTTTCCGTTTGGTGGCTTTTGAGATTTTCATCTCAAATTGAGGTAGGGGATGTTCTAGGCTTTTGTGTGTGTTGTATTGAGTGTTTAGTATGATTATACAACTTAATTGCATGCCTTGTATCGATTCTAAAAAATTAGTATTAATTATTTCTTTGTATGAAATTTAATTCACAAGGATGTGTTTAACTTAGAATGGAATTGTGGCATGTTAGAAAATCATGTTTTAATATGTTTGTTAACATATATTAAATTGGGATTAATTGAATAAGAATTGCATATTTTATTTAAGATTTATCTTCTGTGAAAGGTTAAATCCCATGGCCGTACCTAGCATAAAATTGACTTGTGATATGCTTTTAAATTATTTCTTGGCATGTTGTTTAACGTACTTTAATTTGAGAGCATTTGGATAAGTATGAAAATTTAGAGATTTTAATTAAAATGATTAATTAAAATCTAATTAAGAGTTCTATTGACCTAATTAAGTGTTTAACTTGATATTTGTGATAATTATGACTTATGTTCTAGCATATGTTAATTTGGAACCATTTGATATTGTTTTAGAAGTTAGGGATTTGATTATTATGATTTAATTAAATTCTACTCTATTGTTCTTATGGCCTAATTAAGTTTTGATGTGATGTATGTAATGACCATGCTATATTGTTTATCATGTATTAATTGGAGGCCATTTGATTGAGATTTAAAACTTAGGGAATTTAATTAGTTTATTGATTAAATTTCGTTTCTATTGTATTATTGATTAGCTCATGTATTTGATATTGATAGTATGTTTAAAGCATGACTTTTGACTTATAATGGATTTATGAGTTATGTTTCAATATTGGATTATATTATTATAGTGCGTAACGAATCGCACTCTGAAGATTCGACATGTGATGTTATTATAACGTGTAACGAATCGCGCTCTGAAGATTCGACATTGTCATGTTATAGTTGTTGTTGATTTAGAGCATGTGTTGTGTGATTTCAGCCTACTTGTGCATGAAGGTAGTTTCGTGTACTATTCAATACGTATATAAGTTGTAAACTTATCTATTTATTTTGGAACCACTTGGGACATTGCATGATGGCTAGGGTTTGGCTCTAGTACGGGGACAACAGTCCTCTAAGTCAAAAGTTCGCGCATTGGGTAGGCTGCTTGGGGGTTAGTAGCTCCAAATTAGCCCAGAAAAGTTCGCGCGTTGGGTAGGCTACCTAGGGGTTAGTAGTTCCAAATTAACCCTGTATCGGTCTCATCCGACTGATGTCCAAGTCTTCCACTATTTTTTTCGCATTCAATTCCAAATTATCAATCATGTTTATATTGTGACTGTGGTTTTGGCTATTGGCGATTTCATGTTGTTAAGTACATCCATACTAAATTGCTATATTTAGTTGATTTAGCATTTAGATTTCAAGTTGATAACTTTGAGAATCTATATCTAGTTGCATTGTGTATGCATATTTCTATCTGGTTGCTTTGTGTAAGCATGTTTCTAACTAGTTACTTTGTGTAAGCTTATTATATCTTGTTGCTATGTGTAGCATGCTCTTGTGTTGTTGAAATTGCATAAAGGACGTGTTTTATGCTAAAAATGATCTTAGGTAATTAGGATGCTCCCCGAGTCTCACCTTTGACATAGACGTTAGGTGGAATGAACCACAATGATTAAATCATGTACACTTGTAAAATGTAGGTCAATGTATGCTTATTTCCTGCGAGTAGCTTTATGTTACTCTCCCCTACGATACTGGGGTATATTTCAGGTACAGGATACAAGATTGGAGATTGCAATTACATGGGTGATTTGCTGAGTTGAGCTTCTTCAGAAGCATTCTTGTTCACATGCAAGTGTTAGCATGTTCATGATTTGTCTATGAAATGTAATTTTTCTAACTTGGAGGTTTGACATGTCAAATGTTGTAAATGTATTGTAATGAGGCCATAGGTCATTGTAGTGCATCTATTTTATCATATTACATACACTTGCATGCTTACTTTGGCAAACAATACCTTCCTTGATGAAACAAAAACTCTAAGTAGCATTTTTAGGGAGTTTTACCCTATTCTGTTCCAGGGGTATTTCGGTTATTTCACAATGCATTTTTTTTTTATTTTTTATTTTTCCTCGTGAGTCACGTAAAAAACTCAATTTTGAGTGGGGTTTCTTATTTGTGTTTTTTCAGAAAACATCAACTTGGCCCTCAAAAATTAATATTTTTCCGAAAAATTCTTACTGTCAGATTTTGCAAATTTTTAGTACAAATGTAGTAACTATTCATCGACTTTTTTTTTTGAAAATCGCCACGACCGATTCGAAACTTCTGGAGGTCTTGTGGGTGCATTTTAAGATTGCATTTTCAATTTAGGCAATTTAAAAACCTCCCGAAACCCTATTTTCAAAACTTGGGCAATAGCTTGGATTAGTTTTTTTCCTCTTGACTTGATTTTCTTGGGGCATTCTGAGCATTTTACAATGCATTTTTTTTTGTTTCCGTCCGTGATCGGGGTAGGAAACTTGATATTAGGGGAGGTTTCTTCTTTGAGTTTTTCCAATAAAGTCCGTTTAGATGCCCGTTTTTACTCTCAGTTGCAGCAGTGGTGGGTTGTCCTCGTCGGGCCGCCACGATATCATTTTTGTTTTTGACCTTTCTCCCTCGTCCGGATTCTAAATTGAGTAAACTTTTTTTTTGAACTTGACTAATTTATCATTGTCTTTCCAGCGGTGTGCTCGATAGCACCTGAATCCACTTTTTGCAAAATGACCATTTTACTCCTAGGTTCTTTTTGTCCGTTTTTGAAATGACACTTCTGCATTTGTTTCCTTTGGGTTCCGTGACCTCATTAAGGGTCACATTGGTGTCTTAGAGATGCATTGTATCTCTAAAGACCGTTTCACCTTTCGCTTCTGCATTTCGGATCCATTATCGGGTCATCTTTTGGTCATCGCTGATGCACCGGGTTTACAAAACTTGGGCCGTCACAAGTGGTATCAGAGCTCCTAGGCTTGAATACCTTGGACGACGGGTTTTGGGTGCATATCATGCTTGTGTTGCCATGCTCTATTTGTTTATATACTTTATGATAACATGTTTTGGTTTGATAACATATTTATGTGCCTAGGTGATATATATAGTATATCGTTTGGTTAAAGTATGATTTTATTCTAGTATAAGAAGTATGACATATGATGTATGCTAGGTTAGATTTGTGTATGCATATTGTTTTGCGTATTTGATAGGATTTGGGATTAGTCACGGATGTTTGACTCGAGGTTGGGTTGCTTGGTGAGTTTGCACTTAGTGCAATATTTGGTGTGTTTTGGTTTTGTTTAGGCACTCTTCTTAGATGTTGTTAGCAATTGTCAGTTTGGTTTCATGGTAGTTTAGGTCGTCGTTGACCTAGCGTTGGCTTTGGATAGGTGGATGGTCACCTTTTGTTTAGGCTCTCGTGGGGTGAGCCATTATGCGTAACCGTAGTGCTGGATTTGTTGGTTTTGGGCCATGATGAAGTTGTGGACCTCTTAGGATCCTTGGTTGTTTAGGAAGATTCCTCTAAGATTGCAATTTTCGTGGGCG